AAGAAAGAACAAGGACAAAAAAATCACTGACAATTTGAAAGTCATGAATCTCCACCGCTTCCTCCGCAGCGCTCCCAGTTTTGAATCTCTCCAGGTTGTTGTCGGAATCAATTTCCATGGAGCCCTCCGTCACCTCCCCATTGATGTTCACAGAGTACAGCACGTTGTAAACCTGCCAGGAATCACAGTGGAATGTTAAAATGACTGATTAAGTGGAGTTATGTAAATCACACTGAAGCCAAAAAAAGGCTTGAAATGAAGATAAAAACAAGTTTTTCTCCACACACTCGCCGCTCCCACTGCATAATGTTTTGTGTATTTCATCTTGAGAAATACTCTGTGGATTTCACACACTGAGAGGTTTAGCGTGGCACCACAACAGACGCTATTGCAGACCTTGATGGGGCTGTTTGCCCTACAGGTGAACTCATTAGGACAGTAGTAAACATCACAGTAACTCAGAAAATTCAGATTCACAGGAGCGACTTTTGTATGTGCTGCTGACTGGATCAAAAAAGGATGTTCATAATTAAAACAGTGATATTTAATCAATGGGAATTTGTTTGTGAATAAAACTTTGTCTAAAGTTAAGGAATTAAATGGTCCTATTGTCACAGTACCCAGTTTATACGTTATGACATTTCTACTCAGATGTTTTATATGCTGCAGACTGCTTTAAAACCCTTTTCGTAGGTTGTTGCCTTACATTCTTGTCTCTGACATTCCACAGAAAGAAAAGCAGCCAAGGATGCACACAGCACCAGCACTGCACCGACAACAAGAACCACAGCCCCAAATCTCAGGAGGCCAGTGGCTGCAGGAGAGCTGCGTGTGCTGGATCTGCGTCGCCCCTTCAACTACGGAATCAGACAGAACAGAGAGCGGAACAAAGAGATGGACGACTTCACCAGGTAAATGTTGACACGTCAATTATCCCTGACACTGATCGAGCCTTGAATAATCGCACTGCGACACTCAAAACACCGCCGTCTGTAATTTTGCGCTCCCTCCATCGTCCTTTTCATGATGTCCCGTGTAAATCCTTCTCTCTGATGTTATCTGTCTTTGAAGATTCTGGTTTTCTTACGTAAGCTGACATCTAAGTGTGAATGACGCACAGTGAATGCAAAGTGAAATTCTTCATCTGAATGTTTCCTGTAAGTCCATGTTGCACGAAGCAAGGTGGCCCTCCTGTGGTACCAGCATAAAAGTTCAGAGTTCAACTGAGACAAACAGGTTGGAAGTCTGACTGGAAACAAACAAGGACATTCTTCTGCCCCTGTGGATTCTATTAAGGGACATTTAGCTAATATTAAGAGTTTGCACTATGACTTTTTCATCTGCTCTGCTCGCCAACTGGTTGTTGGACCATGACATTCTCTATTAATTTATCTGGGATGGTGACATAACCACCAATGGGTCCAGGATGTCATAACCCAAGGATCCACTGTACGTACAGTATGTTAAAAAAAAAATATATACATACATAAACAAGTAAAAAAGATGTGTTTCCTGCAAGTATATCAGCATTGTGTTGAACTAAACACGCTCAGGTTGCACACCGAGTTTTGTGACGTGTATGTTTGGAAAGCTGTGGAAGTTTTGTACAATGTGCAGTAGATGACCTCAAAAAACGCAGTTTACTGTGTGGATCAACTGTGTACAACAACGATGGTGACCTTTGACCTCTTTACACATTGTGTGGATGAAGACTCTGTATAATGCTGTCGCCCTGGTTACATTCAAATCTGAGCCTTGTCCATCTCTTTGCACATTCTGGAAACACTCACTTTCATTATTCCACTCAATCATAACTCACGTCGAAGGAATCCGCGCTTGTTAAATGTCCTGATTTACAAATGTTTTGAATGTACATCACGGTCAAGGTTACGTGCTTCTTATTAAAACATAAAAAAGGGGGAAAAAAACGCAGAAAGGACGGATATTTGAGTGTGCAGTGCTGCTGTTGCTTGGATACAGATTGAGCCACATTTTTGGATAATTGGTGAGCTGGGAGGCAATCAGAAGAGGTGGTGGTATTTTTTGACCTCTAAAAATATGTAATTGTTGTTGAAACTTTAATATGTGCATGTAAATGGAGGCAACATTAGAGCTATGCTGAAAATCCTCCATAACATGTGACTTTGACTTAAGCTGACTGAGAAATCCATTTTGTTGAACGCCAGGGTTGTTGTTGTTGTTCCTCTTAAGCCTTTAAGTCAAATTAAATGTATTCACGTGGCTAATTGGGGTTATTCTGTCTTTATGAATATTTACCACAGACAGTAAATTAACAGTGAAATCCGCCAAGGCTGGAAAACTAACTGATTTTACTTGAGTTGGAGAGCAGAATGATTTCCTTTGAGTCCTTTATTTGTGCAACAATGTGACAAAATCTACCACAAACATGGTAATCTTTCATAGTGATTGTTTAGCCACAGCAAGAAAGGCCCCTTACAGCCCGTAAGTCCAAGGTCAAGGTCATGCCCCTTAAATAATAACAACACATGCTTTCTGAAAATCCATAATAAAATTGTCTTTACATTGAATTGTTATGAAAAATATATTATTAATGTACAAAATCTTGCATATTACACATGAGAAAAAAGAACAGTCTTACATGAGCCAAAAGACACGGGACATACTACAGTACAAAACACTGCAACGATTCAACACGGAGTCAATAAAGATAGAGGTACTGTACAGTATAAAGACAGATATCCTTTCTGGACGAGAAGGTCTTTGTTCATTTATGAGTTTGCGTACTCCGGGATCGATATCTCATCTGTCTCCTGTATTCGGGCCGGTGTCGGCGGACCCACGAGGATATAGTCAAACTCAGTTTGTTGAACTTTTTCGTACACACTCTGCAGTGCGTTGGGTTTGACCACGTGACTCGGGTAGTAGTTTTCTCTCCTCGTGTCACGTGGCAGTGAAGCTGTCTTGGAGAACGTTGACAGATGCGGTGCACAGGCCATACTGGTGTTGGGCCTGGTGGCTGGCGGGTTCCAGCAGCGGTCAGAGTGTCCCAGCACTTTGCACTCACTCGTACATGCCCAGAGAGCTGTGGACAAAAAGGGGGTTGCATCATGATTAATGCACTGGGTCCAAATCGTTTCACTGTACGATTGGAACGTTGTGACATTTCTGGGGGTTTGAGGCACACAGTAGTTACGGGCTCCTGAAATGGTCAAGACCACAGACACATATTTGTCTGCTTCATTTTTGAAGCACTCAATTCATTTATAGTTTGAGGTAAAAAACCAAAGCGAGTTGTGGTTCATATTTTCACTTTGTATTTCTTGGGAGTACCAAGTCTCAATAAGGACTTCTTAAGTGGAGCCACTGTGTGTGTTTATGTGAGCAATTATCAAAGTTGCATTAGGAGTCACAAGGACAATCAAATGTGCAATCATCATCAAGATGATTGGTTAAAAACAGACCAAGTTATTAATCAAACATCCCAAAAATAAAACCAACACTGAGTACTATTTTTACAGCATTAAAACCAGAAATATTTTAGAAGATGCTGAGCAAAGTACATCCATTTAGTAATATTGTTCAACAAAAAAAAGATTTGAGCTTGGATAAAAGCATTTCTACCCATAAAATATTGGATGGGAGTTGAGAGGATGTCTGGCTTTGGAACAATAAACTTATGACAAGAAATGGGTGGAGCAACCGCTGCTGTAGACTATGTTTGTAAAGATGAACCGTAGACACTGTAGAGATGAGATTTAGCTAATTTAGCTAATCTAATCTACAGGGATTTGTATATGTTTATCTGCATGTAAGGAGACACTGTACGAACCAAATCTGAATCAGTAATCAGTAAGACATGACATGATGGTACGAACCAAATCTGAATCAGTAATCAATAAGACATGACATGACGTTTGTTGTGATACTAATTCTAGATTTTCTCCTGTACAAGGTTATTGGTCTGTAATGCTTGATGAAATGGTTTTTTGTGGGTAGCTCACACTCATAAGGGAGTGACTGACAGCTGGTTGGTACAAGCAGACTCAGGCTCAGTAGCATAACTGTGGTGACATCATCGCCCCTGTCTGTACATCTACATAACAATGACTTTTGTCACAGTTTTTTTTTTTTTTTTTTACCAGTTTTCCTTGTGTTTTATTGGATTTCTAACAAGAGCAGTGACTTGTGAAACCAGTGACCTCTGATGGTGTTTTTAAGCGACTCACAGTAGAAGGCTCAGCTCTGTTGCTATATACGCTTTATGAACAAAATTAGACAAACAACAGTTGGACACCATCCAACAAAGACCAACAAACATATTGTACTATATTCAAAATAAATGACATTTTTCTTTTGTGAATTTAGCCAAAAACAAAAAGTTACAGATATTGCAGTCAGATTTGATCATTTGTGGAGTTTTTTTTTTTTTCATTTTCCTGCCTCCATTTTTCAGTTTCTGCCTCTCTTATACTTACTGTTCATTGGAGGTGACTCTTTTTTGTGCACGTCCCCATTTAAGTCTGAGTCGCTGTCATTGAAATCGCTGTCTCCTTTGCCACTGTCCTTGCCACTGATGTGTGGCTCCCTCGCAGAGATTGTGGTGAATGAATTACCCTTCCATATTGTTATAGGTCTCACTGTTTCTTTTCCATATCCTGGTAATGTACAGTAACCCTGCCAAGACACACAGATGCATATATTTTCAGTCAAAATGCAAAAAGAAACAAAACAACAACTTCAAAACACAACACAATGTGAGAGAAACTAAAATCCTCTCAGAAACAACAACAACAACTTGCCTTTAATTTCCCCTCCACCACCCTGCTGTTTGACTCAAAGGAGTCTGTTGTCTGCCTGCCATCTTCACACGCTGCTTCTGTTGTGTTGCTGTTGGCCAGTGGAGGTTTCCCTGGAAATGGGTGGGCATCAAACACTTTGCCTTTGTGGTTGGCAATCATTGAATCAATATGACCACTTTGCAATTTCTCCACATTTGGCATGTCTTCTTTCTCATCACACCCCCGCTCCCTTGTCTCCTTCCTCCTGCGGCTGCAAATGGTTGTAATGAGAATGATAGCCAGCAGGAGGAGAGAGCAGCTGCCCGCCAGTACAATGATTATGGCTATGGACATGTCCCATTCAAACACCTCCTCGCTGTCGTTAGGGGCAAAGGAAGGCACGCTGGGCAGAGTTCCTTCCACAAAGCTCAAATGTATAATGGCTGTGGAGGTGAGCGCGGGGGCTCCATTATCGCTGACAGACACCGTGACTTTGACATTGTCATTGACATCATATGTCAGTTGGCGGCTCACGTGCAGTTTCCCAGTTTCTTTGTTGATGGAGAAGCCCAGGTGGCCCCCCTCTGTGATTTTATAGGACAGCTGTGCGTTTGTGCCTTCATCGGCATCTGCGGCCTTTATGTGGGTCACCACATAACCTGCAGGTGCATCTCTGGGCAGGAAAACCTCAGCAGAACCTTTGTAGAGGGGGGGCTCTATGATAGACGGCTGGTTGTCATTTTGATCAACTATCTTTAGCCTGACCACAGCTGTGCTCTGCAGCTGCGGTAAGCCCCCGTCACTGGCCTGGATGTGTACGTCCAGGTGCTTCATCACCTCGTAATTAAAGCTTCTCAGGGCGTATATGGAGCCTGACACTGAGTTCAGGGACACAAAGGTGTTCACTGGGGAGCCCATGATCATGCTCTCCACCAGCCTGTAAGTGATTTTGCCGTTGATGCCCAGGTCCGCGTCGCTCGCCTCGACGGTGGTGATGTAAGCCCCCGGAGCGTTGTTCTCCACCACTGAAACTTCGTAAACGGTCTTGGCAAAGTGAGGGGCGTTGTCATTCTCGTCGGTGAGTCTGATGGTGAACTGAGAGATCTTTCTCAGCGGCGGTGACCCGAAGTCCTCAGCCATGACCGTCAGATTATACTCGCTGATCCTCTCCCTGTCCAGAAGTGCCGCCGTGACAATCATGTAGCTGTCCTCGTGAGCCTGTCGGAGTTTGAAATGGTCGTGTCCGTACAAAGTGCAGTGGACCTGACTGTTAACTCCCGAGTCTCTGTCCAGGGTGCTGATCAGCGCCACCAGACTGTCTTTGTCTGCCGCCTCGCTGATGTGCGCCACGCCAGTGCTGACGGAGGTCATCGGGGTGATGCTGATTTCTGGGGCATTGTCATTTACGTCTGTGACGTGAATTATTATTTTGCACACAGAGGGGACGGGGTTCGAACCCAGGTCGGTCGCCTGCACGTCTAGCTCATAGGTTCTTTTGTCCTCAAAATCCACGGGACTCTTCAGCGTCAGGCGACCGGATTTATTATCCACCTGGAAAAGTTCTCTGATCTCATGAGAAACCTGTTTACCGAACCCGTACACCACCTCTCCGTTCAGTCCCTCATCGGGGTCCACTGCGTTTAAGGTCAGAATAACAGTGCCAACCGGTGCGTCCTCCGGGAGCCGGACTGAGAAACTATTCTGGTCGAAAAGGGGGCTGTTGTCGTTAAAGTCGGTCACTCTTATAGTTATCTTTGTGGACCCGGATCTGTGCGGGTACCCGCCGTCAGTGGCCACCAGCTCCACACTGTATGACGACTGGGTCTCTCTGTCTAGCTCTTTCATTAGCACCAATTCCGCATATTTAACCCCATCCGCTCTCTGGAGCACATCGATGGTGAAATGACTGTTGACAGAAATCTGATAGCTTTGTATGTAGTTTGAGCCGACATCAGCGTCAAAGGCTGGGTCTAGAGGGACCCGGGACCCCACCGCTGCGTTTTCCGAGATCTCCACTATAGATTCCCTGCTGGCAAACTCCGGAGAGTTGTCATTGATGTCCCTTACTTCCACCTCAACGTGGATCAATTTGTAGCGATCTTTGGAGAAATTCACCACATCAAAAGTGATGAGGCACTGTGGAGCGTGTCTGCAGATTCTCTCCCTGTCTATTCTCTCCGCCACGGCGAGTTCCCCGTCGCTCTCTCTCACCCTGATGAATGAGTCGTTGAATTGTTTCATCATCCTGAAACTAGTCTTGGACGAAAGATACTGGCTCAAGGACATGTCCTTGGCCAGGTTTCCGATGACAGTACCTGCTGTGTCCTCCTCATTGGTGTGGTATCGTATAGTATTTCCTTCAGACCGAGTCTGTGAGGCAAACACAAACTGGCTGATCAAAAATAAAGAAATCCACCGGTGCCAATAAGTTGCCCGTTTCCCCCACATCATTGTCGTGGTGCTGATGTTCCTCTTGTCAGACAGCTTCACTGTGAGCAGAGCAGATGAGCGCAGTTCACCTCCATCCAGCCGCCTCCTGTGTGAAGTGAGATGTGCTCAAAGTCAAACTTACTTGCTCCTTGCGCGCAGCAGCCAGTCAGACACGCTTGTTGCCTCCCCTTCAACACAGCTCAAAATCCTGCCGTGGCGGGGGTTTATACAGCTCCTCATGCTAATGAGACGAAGTGTGACCAATCCCTCACTTTGGAATTAAAAATACCCCTTGTGGAAAAAAAAAGAGAGAGAGCAATAAGCCATTTTAGAGCGCACACGGAGAGAGAGGGAAAGTCAGAGACAATTAAAAAAAATGCTGAAAGATTTGCCAGTGCTCCAAGATAATCTCTGCACCCTGAGATTTTTTCTTTTTTTTTTTTAACAAGAGTGTTGCCTTTTTAATTTGCAGCAGCCACTTCCTTCCCCCCTCTTCTAGTTGGGTTTCAGAACATATGCACGCTCTCTCACAGTCGAGGCAGTTGTTCTCGGTGAGCAGAGGGTTCTGTTGCTGCTTATTTGAGAACAGCTCAATTATCAGCCTCCCTCTTTCTGTACTGAGGCAGAATCAATCGATCTCTCGATGCAACCATTGCACAATGATTTTCTTGTTGTATTAAAAAAACAGTTTAATAATCCGTTCACACGGTTTGTTTCACTGTGAAATCATCTCAAATGGATTAAGATTCAGGCTTTGGTTTGATCTTGTTTTATTCATAGTATATATTTTAAATACGTGTGTGTGTGTGTGTGTGTGGGGGGGGGGGTCACAATTTTTCCAGCTAAAAATTAAATCTTAGTTTATTGTTGCGAAATCCCTCCTTGCTCTGACTGGTAATTGGAAGGCAAATACTTTGAGTTTGTGACCCAACAATGGATCAACGAGATATACAGCAGGTTGTGGTCGCTGACAGTTGTGGAAGCAATCAAAAATAGAAGTCTAATATTGTAGTTTCAAGTGCAGTACCACCACCTGCCAGCAGGGTCTGGCAACTAACCCTTAAATATTAGGTCTACCAATCTGAGAGATGGAGCAGTGACTAACAATGACAAAACAGATCACAACACTACTGTAGTACCACCGCAGACCCAGTATGGGCTGCATACCCTATATTTACCTCTAAGTACGAACAGTTTGACCAACATTAAGCAAAAAATATCTGAGGAAGAGAATGTATTTCTTAAAAGATAAATAATTCTATACATTAGCTAATGATGTCTGTTCAGTTAATTAGCATCCAAAATCTGACACATCACTAGGGGGAGCCAAAGTACCACCAGCAGTTTGCATACCATAGTTTGAGCATCACTGCATTTCATTTTTTTTATCTGAAGTATTGATGTGTGATGTCCACAGTATCAGCTGCATTTTCATGCGTTTCTTTTGTGCATTTGTGCAACACCGTGAGATGATAACTGTACCGACGGCACTACCGTGAGATGTATGGGGGTTTTTTTCCAGCTCGTTGCTGTTCTCTGTCTCGATTCATATTTGTTTTAAAACCTTTAGCAGCTTGTTTTTCTGCTTTGTGTGGAAACCAGTGAGTCAGAAAATGTGTTTAGTGTCTCTGATTGATTGCTGTGTGCTCTGGTCACTTTCTGTGTTTACTCTAAGTGTCTCTTGGCCACTATCTCTCCCGTCCTCTCTCTCCCACTGCACGGCAGAGGTAAATGCAGTGAAGAGTTATAGCATCAGTTACGAAAATCAAATCAGAGTTCAGTGTTTGTTAGAAAATGTTTTCTGCGAGCACAAGTGCTGGGAGTAATGTGGAGGCAGACGGTGCTTCTCAGAGTGTGACCTGCTGCAGAACGGTTGCTCGGTGCTACATTGACGACTATGTGGATAAAAACTATTTTATCTTTTCTTGTGTTTTGTTTCAAAGAGAATTAAGCAGTTTACTAATGCCATCTTAAGAAGCTCTGATGCTGCGTAACAGGTTTTTGTTTTACCACAGTTTTCCTCCTCTTGTCGTGACATTCTAATTAAATATTTACTTCAGGCATTTAGCACCACCAACAACCAAATTATATGTATAAATAAGATAATTTAGAGTTGTAACATTATTCATTTATGATGCCTTAAAATGTCAGCTAAGGTTCTATAAATGAACCATCTTTAGCATCTCATCAAATCAAGGTGAATTAAGGACTTTTTTTTTCTTCTCCTTCAGTTTGCATAAAACTGAGCAGCAGCAGAATCTCATCTAAGGCTTTTTAATGAATTTAGAATGTTGACTCAGGAGACAGACTTCACCATCCAATATCAGAGCCTGAATCTCACAAATCTGCGAAAGATACTTTCTTTGCATATAAAATTTCTTCAACTCATGTGGAAAGCCTTGCCAGAAATGAAAAGAAAAGTTACGAATATTTAAGACAGAATATTAATGTCTGCAGTTAGGAATTTTAATGTTTCAAAAAAGACCTGATGTTCACACTCTCTTCTTACTTTTTACACAGCAGTGAAGTCTGTGTCAGTGGTTGGACTCTGAAGTCAGATATCGTTTTTTTTTGTTTTTTTTTCTTTCATAAAATCAAATCGTCTTCCTGTCCGCTCCTCATGTACTTTGTCTGATTAAGAAGGTTCTGCCACCACACGCTGCTCGCTGCCACAGTTTTCACCTCAGGGGCACAATCACGAAACCAAACCTTAAGGGATGTTACAGAAATACTGAATGGGATTGCAACATGTACTTCTGTTTTGCTGCACATCCTAGGTGCTGCTACAGTTAACGGTTTCAACCTCTGATGATCATATTTCTAAATTTAAGAAATATCTAATTACGTCCCAGGAATCGTGTTGCTGTGCTCATTTCTGCTCCTGTCAAACCTAGAAACCAGCAGAGCTTATTGGATTTAGACAAGTGAATTTTCCTCCACAGTATAATTATGCTTTTGCACTTTTGCACTTCTGGCTGTTTGAGTAAAAACACAGTAAAATGCTGGGTTTTTTTTTTCACCTAGTAACCGAATAACAATCTGCTATTAATATTCGTCTTTAAAACACTATTCCTCCATCTGACTGGAGGAGAATTGTTTGGTTTTTTTGTTCCCTGCGTTTGCACAAAACAATGGAAAAAAAAATCTGTGAATAGCTCAGAGAGACAGACTGAAGAGGAGACGGTGTGTAAGAATATCAATTTCAGGTTAAGTTCAGTGTTTATGTAAAAACTTTTTAATTGCAATACAAGATAGAAATGTATGAAAATTTAGCATGCATTCAGTAAAGACCGCAGGTGCAGGCTGTGTGGAGATGCTGCTGAAACAGTTTAGCCCATAATGGCACAGAGCAGGCTGCAGGTGCCACGGCCAGGTGTTGGGAATCTCTGCATTGAGTCTGAACCGGAAGACTATGGACTGGAAGTAATGAAGAAGGACCAAGTTAGAATCCCGCGAGACTTTTAAAACCAGTCCAGGCAACAGTTCAACCGTGGGGATCAATAAACACAAAAGAATGCAGTGGTGATAGATGAGGCGAATAAAAGCAACACGGAAAACATGGGACATGAAAAGCTCAGAAAATACCAGAGGCTAAGATGAGACCTACAAAGCATGTGCAGAGTAGAAACCTTATTCCTATTGAACCTACTTCTACTCCAAACCCTTTTTGATAGAATTAACACAAATGTAGGGTAATCAAAGGGTTAACTCTTTAACACAGGAGCTGCGTGTTAATCACAATGAATCACGATTAACTATTAACTAACTATATTTGTCAAAGGGCTAGAATTTTTCCAGTACAGATTGGATGGTTTGACGGGCCGTATTCTGCCCGCGGGCCATCGGTTGATGATCCCTAGTCTACAGTCTCTCTGAATCCAGTTGCATGGATGGATGCTTTGTTGAAACCAAAACTCTTTCCTGCAGTGTTTGAAAATAACCATGCGTAAAAAATATGAATGTTAGATCAACGAGAAGTGGATGGATGGACATATTTTTTAATCTGATTAATTTCACAAACGAATCATTGTGTTTATTGGTGTTAATATAGACAGACTTCTTGTTAAACACTAAAAGCCTCTGTTTGTCATTTTGTCAGATAAATATTCCAGTGCATTGCTAAATGATTTGTGCCATATTTCTGGATAATCAGGGTTGTACCGAGGGCCAAGAGAGGAGCTAAATATGTGTGTGTGGAGAAAAAGGAACAGCGGTGCAGGTGGTAATTGGAGCACTAGGGGCTGTGACCCACAAATTGGTGGAATGGCTGCAGCAGATTTTTAGGGACAACAACAGAGGTGCGGGTCCAGCGTGCGAGGAACAGCTGGGGTACCCTGCAGAATTCACGACTGGAGTGTTTGATTTTGCCATTAAGAGGCTAGATTTGAAGACGCACAGCTGACAGTGTGTAGGTGTTAAGTGCAGACTTGATGGGTTAATGTGTGAAGCAATGCACTAATTTAACTCTATTTATAGTCCATTTGGAGGCAAAGTTTTTCAGAGCACAAGTTGCAAATGAACCTTTTCCATAGGAATGTGTTGCCACAGCACTAATGCTCCGGACGTTTGTCAGCCTTACGTCGCCTTAATGCCTGTCCGTTGCTGTCAAAACAGAACTGCAAACAACAGGTGTGACCCCCCTGGTGGCACTAGAGGAAAAATCAAATTGCCACTAAACTCTGTAAGGCGCACTCTCTTAGGAGTAAGAATCTCTGTGCAATGAAGAAATTACATTTTATATTGCTAAAGAAAATTCATACAAGCGAGGTTGATGCTGTGTCCCTGCCAAAAAAAAGACAAAAATAATATTATAATGTACTTTTAATGCGGCAAAGGGAAGCGATGAGAACCGCTGAGGACGGTTCATTAAACAGGTTGCTAAACAGATGTTTCCTCTTTCAGCCGAGTTCAGAGCCACATTACGTGGGCTGATTTTTTACTCTAATGAGAACAAAGGTGATCAGAGATACAGTGTGGGCGACTCTCTTTGGACTACATTAAACCAGGTCAAATGGCTGTGGTGATAGATGGATGATTACTCCACAACACTGCAGTAGTTTGAACTGGGACGCGGAGGAGTGGAGGCCAGTTTATTGTAAGTAAACGATTGTTTATAGAGGAGGATGGTTATTAGCAGATGGCTGCCTCCGTTGTGTTGTGCAAATATCGCAGCTTTATTTACATATCACATGACATTTGCGTTTTGTGCTGCGGGTCAACAGTGCAACGCAAAATGTGTTTTTACGTGGGTACATTTACAGCTCATTACGAGCCGCCCAAGGTTCGAGCATTTGGAGTTTGTGTGTGTAACGACACAGGGATGGGAGTATAAAAATATATTCTAATGCATGAGCTCAAGGTCACTTCCCCAGAAAGACTTGACTGGGCTCTGAGTCCAGACTTCATTCTATATTAATATTTGATTTTATATCTTTGTGACGAGTTATGAAATTGCATTTTGTCTGCAGGGGAAGCAGCCAACTGTCCCCGGAAATATTAGCCCTAAAAGGGGGGTGGTGGGGAGGGGTCTTTATGATATTTATGGAAAGGCACGATAATATATATATATATGTTTTGCGATTAATAACACAATTGTATAGAGTATGTGTCTGTTTCCATGAAAGTTAAGCTGAAATTATTCACAGCCTCAAACAGATTC